TAAAGACATGAACAAAGAGATAAGATGTTATCCAAAATATTCTTAAGGAACCAGCGAATCATCGCAATTCTCTTAGCCTTCCGAAGGCTTTCGGGTAGAGCAGAAGCTTCAGCCATGATACAAAGGGTCGATGAGAAGTTGCATCCACCGAATCCAACAATGAACTCCAAGAATGAAGAGATCTGCTGCTCAAATCACAAAGGGCGGATGAGCAGAAGCCTAAGGAGGCAGGTAAGAGTTTGTTTATGCAGGAAAAGCTTTAGCAATTCCAAAGGAGGCTGAAGACATTTCAGGAGAGCATACTCAAGTTTTGATGATCAGAGAAAAGTCCATACAACCTGCAAGCAAAGTTGATAATAAAGTTGGTGACTCCTGATCAACCCAGTGCAACTGGTCTTTCAAATTCCATTGAAGCCACTGCATACTAATATTACAATGCAAAAATCAAATTTGAATATTCCAATTACTACATAAATAAATAAGTTTGTTTGCAAAGAAGCCTCCACTGACAAGAGATAACACCTTCTTAGATATATCCAAATCCATAAATTGGGTGATGACACATTTTAAAAACAAATTACAGAAACAACTCTTTGGTGTTTTAAGTTTTTTCGCCACTTAAATCATTAGAGTAACTACCACTCAACAATTTCTTGTGATCTTTGGTGAAAATTTCTATATACTGCAAAACATGATCTGAAATATGACTCTTCAAGACATACCCAAACAAAAACCAATCCGGAAGTGGAATTAATTTGGACAAAATCCAAAAGTCCCTACGATAGATCCAAAGGTCATCTCAGTTGGACTGTCATGTAGAATTTCTAAAACATGCAGTTTACAGACAAACCAACAATACTATGCCAAAGACAATCAGAAAATAACTTACACTAACAATCAGTAAGACGGAAAAAATTTGATTTCCAATCAATGCTAATCTAGCTTGTCATAAAAGAAAAATCCCACACCTCAATTCACCTTTTGATAAGCCCTTTGCATTCTATTTCCAAAATCTCAAATTAGGGGATAATCTACCTTCGTCGTTGGCAAATTAGACCATCAGCTAAGCCCTTTCTCAGCCTCCGATACCAAATGAAAGGTATCATTTTCCTTTACACACGCCCTCAACTCTCAAAATATCGAGCAGCTCAGGAACATTTTCATTGTGAGGGAGAACAAACTTCTCCAAGAATTTGGTATCTGATAATGTGAGAATGTATGGAAACTTGGCTTGTCCAGTCAACAATCCTTTCGATTTCAACATCTCTGTGACACGAAACCGAGGAATTACCCTCTTCTGCAGGCAAAATAGCAAGAGATATGATTTGTCGACGACGAAGGAAGTGGTGTAACCGACTGCATTGATAAAAAATTCCACTTTTCTGCGCAACATATCGAGGGAGATGCATAAGAAGGTGGGTGCTTTCCTGACTGCAGAAGAAAACTCCGACTCCGACCACCCGAAGCTCCTCATGAGCTCGACCTTGGCATCGAACCTTTCTTTGCTTACCTTGTGGAGAGCAACAAGTGTCCGCACGAACATCCGAGATAGCCGTGGCGTCCCCAGCTCATCAGCTCTTGCCACCAAAGCTCGGAGTGACTCTAGTTTCTGAAAGATTAATTGTGGATGACTTCTCAAGATGAGAGAGAGAGCCTTTCTTCAGGAATGCCGCACTCATCCCTCAAGAACTTTAGGTTAGGATGCAATTTCTTCTCAACGCCGGAGGAGAAAAACCATCTTGTCTTCTTGAGAAGCTTGAGAACGAGGTCTCTCGATCCCAAGAGACTTTCCAACATCTCCAATCTGGGAACGAAGGAACGATGAACGTTGAGGCCGAGGATGTCATGATTCTTCACGATGGCAACGACGATGTCCGACTCCGATAGGCCCAAATCGCATAAGAACTGAAACTTCGGGGCGAGGTTCGTCTCCACGTTGAAGCACAGGTATTTGGGATTCCAAGATATCAACTTCATGATACCAACGCCATCGAAGCCCTGGGATCTCATGAAGTTAAGGACGGCTTCAGGTTTCTCGTTGGATCGGAGGTGCGCAAGTGGTTTAGAGAACTTGGCTGCCTTGGAGGGGGAGAACCCGCAGGAGTTCATGAGGTATTCCACCATGAAGTAGGGATCTGGAGATATGGTGCCGCCTACGGCGGCGATAGAGCCGACAGAGGAGGAGAAGAAGAGGAGATCTCGAAGGCGGTAGGTTTCGAACAAGGGCAGAAGGCAATTGCGGCGGAGTCCGGTGCGGAGCCTCGCAGCCGCCATTATGGGACAAAAGAGAGCGGCCGCAGCAGCACCCTAATCACTACAACTGCCCTTATAGCTAGTGTGTATAACCTTCGCTATGCACAAGAAATACAAAAATTATAGGAATAAATTATCTATATAAAAAATATGGATAAAATGACCTTAAGATACTAATTTGACCGTTTCATCTGTACTCAAATCTTTCGGTTGAAGTATAATTATTTACTTTCTTTTCTTATGAATAAAATTTATAAAATAAATATTCAATATTTTAAGTTAAGTGATATTATTTTTATCAATTAAGTAAATAAATATAAATATTAAAAGAATTATTCCCTTGGAAGGCTAACCTCTTCTTAGGGTGATTCATTTCTTTCATTTTTCATTAGGTCAAATATGAATAAGAGGGGTAGATGCAAGTATATTTTTAAAGAAATAAATATTTTTTATATCTTTAAGTGTTTAAAATTTTATTTTTTGATTAAAATATATTATAATTATTCATATTATATATAGTTTCTAATATTTTCTTCTATTCATTCAAGTTCTTAAAATTTTATTTTTTGATTAAAATATTTTATAATTATTCATGCTATATATAATTTCTAAAATTTTATTATATACCAAAAAATATTTAAAATTTTATTTTTGGATTATAATATATTATAATTATTCATACTATAATAAATTTTAAAATTTTTATCTTGCATGCATCAGTTGTAATATTTAATTTCTATTAGATTTGTATAATAATTGAGTAAAAATATTATTTTCCCTTTAATGTAATTTTACATTTTTAATCTATTATTATTTATTATGTTTAATGACTAAATAATAATAGTTAGGTGTTTTGATTATAATTTCATGATGCTATAATTTAAAATTTTAAAAACAATTAATATTTAGGTTAAAATCTGTTTGACAAATCAGGTTCTATCGACAGGCTAAACCACAACCCATTAGACTCAACCAACATATTAAGCCAACTATGATATGGTGCATGTATAATTATTTGTGATGCTACAACGGATTCAGCCAACTATGATAATTGTGGGATGAACTCGGATTGTGATCCCTTTTTGTGTGGCCTCTACCAACACATCGCAGGGCTTCTTCCACCTTCGATTATGTTCGCTTCTTTGGCAATCAACCTTCGTCCACTTGCTTTTTGATCACACCCAAATGAAACATTGTTCTAGGATAGTCCATCGCCTAGTAGCTCTCGAAGTCCACCGACTTCATTGAAAATGGTGCACTATTGTCCGGATCCTAAGCCTTTGCCCCACCAGCACAATCTCTGCTACGCACCGCTTCCTTCATGGCAACTTGAATGACAGTATTGTGGCATATTCTTCAAGAGTACCCGCCTCCGTGTCCTCTTGCCTCATTCCAAAGCCTTATGAACATAACTTCGCTTCTGCAAGTTGAGTCGCCTTGGTTCCTCTGTCAAATGCTTCTCCGAGATAGGGTGCATGTGCCTTGAAGCTCCCTTCATCTTTGGCAAC